TTATTATCAATGTTGAAAACAGTTATTTAAATTTTTATTTTAGGATTATATGATGAATAGAAAGCTAAAAAGAAACAGCATTTTTCAGAAATAGAAAGCTTTTGTAACATTGAACACTATCGTTCAAAAGTTTGGGGTCAGTATAGTATTTTATTTTTTGGGAGAAAAAAAACTCATACTTTCATCAAGGATGAGTTAAATTGATCGGGTTACAGTAAAGAAATTAATAATGTTACAAAAGATTTATTTTACTTTCCATTCTTCAAGGAATCGTGAAAAAAAAATTACACAACTGTTTTAACATTGATAACAATAATGCATTTTTTGAGCATTAAATTTGCATTTTAGAATGATTTCAGAAGGATCATGTGACACTGAATACTTGAGTAATTATGCTGAAAAAAAACAGTTATTTTAAACTGTCATAATATTTGATAATATTACTGTTTAACTGTACAAATACAAAAATATTTTGTATTTTTAATGAAATAAATGGTGCCTTGGTGAGCAGAAGAGATTTCTTTTAAAAACACAAAGAATCTGACCGATCCCAAACTTCTGAATGGCAGTGTGTGCCTAATTCTACCGCAATCAATGCTGTGAAATTAGGGCAAAAGAAGTGTGTGACAATCCTCTCAGGAATTCTATTTGGTGTCATTAGTGGCACAAAAATTACACACTTCACCTTTACACAACAACTTCAATTACATACTTCATCAGTGACAAATATAATTCCACAAGTCACAAATCTCAGGCACTTTTCTCTCACAATGTATGGAGATCTAAAAGGTGAAAACTTCACTAAATCTATAGCTAAATTTCTATTCTATTTAAAAATGAAATACAATAAAGAGTATGATTATCTAGAGATCATCACAACATCTCAATCAGCTATATATTCCCTAGGTTTAGTCTCGTGCCATGGTCAAATTTAGACACTGAAGAGAGACAATTTGTTGGTGCAAATGTGTTGACAAAAAAAAACAAAAAAAAACTGGATTGACACACAGCTGTCACAGAAGATGCTGCCTATAATGCCAACAATGGAGTTTAGTTAGACCAATATCAGGGCTGTCTTGGACCAAGCTTTTCCAATTCATCAGCTTCTTAAAGAGAAACAATTCAGGTCTAAATAAAAGGCCCTGCGTTTTTTTTTTTTTTCTGGGTCTCTCCCTTGTGAGAGGACTGTCTATATTAGCCTCACTTTTTCATCTCTCTATGTCAGTGACAGGGCCTGAATGAGCTCGTTGTATGCCTCCACTCCAGTCTGTCTTCATTGTTTGGAGTCCTGGCAGGGCAGACCCAGACTGAGCCGCCTCTGAGTCTCAGCAGCTGGACCGGCTCGAGGAGAGAGAGCGAGATTGCACAGGTACAAAGTGCTTCTTGTTCCACCTCTCCTTTCCCAGCTTCTTCTATGCTGCAATACTCTTCTATCTTTTTTATACCCCCATTGGTGGATGCCTCTCTGTCTTTTAACAGCCTTATCGCACTCTCTCTCCCCCTCTACCTTCTTTGTCTTTATGGACTCACACTACAGTTAAATAGTGTTTTGTTTGGCTGGGATGGACACACAATAATAGTGCTGGTGAGGAGATGGGGGTTCCTCTCTCTAAGAGGGGAGAAGAGAGTTTCATGCTTTGAAAAGCCGATGGAAGGAACAATAACAGAAGAGAAGCTATAGAGAAAGAGGAATGAGAAAGGGGGAGAACGAGTGGCAGTCCTAAAACTGTCAACTTATTAGGGACCAAATAAATGATTATAAAATTATAGTGAATAATAATATAATAATATAATAATAGAATAGAATAGAATACACAAGGTACACTACAATGTGCTGAAATCTAAAATGACAAAAGTTTTAAATTACAAAATGTTTTTTAAAACTATTGGGGTGAAAATTTACCTTGAAAGTGTGAAAATGCCAGGATACAGAGTTAGTGCCCATTTTTCAATTTCATATAGAATGGATTACTGTTTTATATGCCAGCAATTTTGAAAACAAAAGTCCTCTAATGTACTTTTTGTAAGTTACTGATCAAACTAATTATTTGAGATGAACTGTGTTCATCCCATGAATGGACAAGCATTCTTCTAAGAGGACTAGCGCACAATTTTCAATAAAAGTCACATTGGACTATAGGACAACATGGACAATATGGACAACACTGACAAACAGACTTCAACTCCAAATCACCATGTTCGGACCATGTCCCTAAAAGGATTTCAAAGGTTGTAAAGTAGCTTATAAAATCATATTACATATAGGTTTTTAATGTACATTTTAGCATGTGTTAATCAATCAATCAATCAATCAAATGCAGTAGATGGAAAAATATACACTGTTCAAAAGTTTAGGGTCAGTAATATTTTTTTTTTTATTAATACTTTTATTCAGCAGCGATGCATTCCAACTTGAATTAAACGTGGAAGTAAAACACTTATAAATTTATTGATTTTCAGTTGTGAAGATAATAAGGAAGGTTGATCATCAAATCAGAATGATTTCTGAAGGACCGTGTGACACTGAAGACTGGAGAAATTATGCTGAAAATTCAGCTTTGCATCACAGGAGTAAAAAAAATAATATTTAAAATATATTCAAATAGAAAACATACCTGTACAGGTAAGAAACTGTATTTTTTTTATCAAATAAATGGAGCCTTGGTAAGCATTGTCTACTATGGTAAGAAGCATACATAAATAAAAACAATTACTGACCCCTGGCCTCTGAATGGTGAATAGTATAAGTGAAGTCCACTTCATGGATTTAAGAGCCTTCCAAAAAATGGCACTAGTTAAACATAATAAATGATTCAAAAAGTTTAGAATTAGAACTGCTAGAACTAAATGGTTAAGTTACTATATTACAGATTTGCCATCATTACAGTTTAATGTGTTTTGTAGCCAACAGGAGAAAGAAAATCCCTTATTTATCAATCTGAATAAAGTATTCCAGAAAGCTCAAATCTCTTTATCTCTTATTTTGTCTTATCATCACGACCATCACTGTCATTAACAAACACCCTGACAATTATCTACACCTGTAGTGGGTGAAATTACCAAAATACCTATATCATAAATATTACCTATATCATAATTATATATATATATATATATATATATATATCATTATATAGTTATGTTTGCCTTAAATTGGGTTATGATATCAATTTTAATCCCACTGAAATATCAAAATTCATATCACTATTTTCAATATAAAAAAACTAACACTAGCCTAAAAAAAACTCTCAAACCTCTCAAGCTTACTGAAGACAAGTAAACTGAGAAAGAAAGAGCAGACAAAACAAACTACAATAAAACAAGACACAAATTAATTAGACCTAACTTCAAGCAATAGAAATACTACATAAAATGTGTAAATTAAATATTTAAAAAAAAAACACTGCATAGTGTTTCACTGTGAAAAAAAATGATGCTCTCACTTTTAAGGGTTAGTTCACCCAAAAATGAAAATTCTGTCATTAATTATTCACCCTCGTATCATTCCAAACTAGTAAGACCTTCGTTCATCTTCGGAACACAAATTAAGATATTTTTGATGAAATATGAGAGCTTTCTGTTCCCACCATGATAGACAGCAACATCAATGCCCAGAAAGGTAAAGAAATTGTTAAAGTAGTCCATATGACTACAGTGGTTTAAATTAAATGTTATGAATATTTTTTGTGCACAAAAAAAAACCCCAAAATAATGACTTTATTCAACAATTTCTTCTCTTTGTCAGATCTCCTACGCTATCTGCCTACTAAAAGCCGTACAGTGGCAATGCCAGAATTATTGGCCGACTATTGACTGACGCTCACGTGACATGCGCATCAATATAGCACCAATAGTGAGACGGCATTCTGATGTAGCAACGGTTCTGATTTTGGGGTCCGGGTGCACAAAAAGTATTTAATCAAAAATATCTTAATTTGTGTTCTGAAGATAAACTAAAGCCTTACAGGTTTGGAACGACATGATGGTGAGTAATTAATGACAGAATTTACATTTTTGGGTGACCCTTTAAAACCAACTGCACTTAAGAGAAAATGACTGTTTACTTGCAAATACATGGTCACTTTTACACATGGGTATGTGTATTTATCTGTTCAAACCCAATTAGGTGGCAAAAACCACTCAGTTCAGTTCTCAAGTGCTCTATCAGCAGCAGCTTCATGTCAGTGCTGAGAAACAGTCTCACTCATAGATAGTGTGTGCATATACTGAAATGAATTCTCTTTTGCCGCAAATTACACTTCAACAGTTTAAAATCACTTTAAAATGCATGTAAGCGATAAGCTTCGTTGACCGTGAAGCACTGCAACATTACAGGAGCGTAACATTGAGACGATTGAGTCCAAAATCGATTGAGTCCAAAATCTCTACCGGTTAATCGTGTCTACCGGTATATCGCCCACCCCAATCTACACAGCCTTATTTTGGTTTGCGTGTCCTGTGGAGAGGTCAAAGGTCAACATGATGCAGGAGGTCATGTAAGAGGAAACAAGGGAATCTTTTATAGCAGTGACCATGAAAGCGCTCTCTATAAACATTAAAAGACCTTCTTTGTGAGTCAGAAGAAAGAGAGATATCAAACTCTCTCGGACCAACCAGAAGGCCTTTCCAGCCCTTCATCTCTCCTAAGAAGCTCCTCAAAAAGGAATGAAAAAGCCCTTAAAAAGACTCACTCAGAATTGGGTACACACACTCTCTTTCTCTAAGGAAAGAGAAAGAGGAGAGAGGGGGAATAAACAGTTGAGGAGAGAAAAGCACAAGTCCCTCTCAGTCAACTGGTAGGGACAGAGTAGTATTGTTAAGACCCCTTCACTGGTGTGCACATGCACAACCCCCCCGCTTCATGAAAACAAACCCGGTTATTGAGAGGTGCTTGGACATATTTGATTAGACTGGGTGACTCAGCAGGAATGGAAGAGGAAGAGGAGGAGAGACAGGGATTTTAGACAGCTGCTGAAAGAAGAGAGGGAACAGGGTCTCACCTCATGGTCTGGGATCTCAGAAGACAGAGTCTGTCCTAGGACGGTCCCCGTTAGGTAGGTCCAGCAGCGGGCAGTATTGGCAAGGTTATAGCCGCCTGAGAGAGGCAGATTTGTATAGGCAGAGAGCGAAGGAGAGAGAGAGAAGCGAGATTGAAGTCAGCAAAAGGGCTTCATTGTACTAAGTGTAATTACTACCTTTCATCTAGCTTGGCTAGGCAGGTCTGCAGCTTAGAGCTCATTTCAAAATGGGCTAAAATCACAAAAGTTCACTTTCTTCTCTCAGCCCAACCCCAACCCGGCCGTAACAACACACTAATAAACTTTTTGGCCGAGTCAGAAAGCTGGCAACAATGACAGAAGATGGAGTTGTCAGTGTTAAGACATTGAGGAAGAATAAACTGAGGCAACACTGCTGACAACGTCTGTCGATTCAGTTAACCCAAAAATATAAATTCTGTCATCATTTACTCATCCTCCTGTCGTACAAAACCAATGAGATCTAAACACAAACGAAAATAATTTAATATTCTATCATCATCTTTGCCCATCGACTGAAAGTCTACGCAACCAAACTTTATTATGCTTCAGAAAGTACAAGCATCCTTATGAATCGAGTGGTTAAACAGAATAAACATTTCATTTAGGCTTTTATTTACATATAACATTGCATAAGACATGAATAGAAGACTAAATTAAATCTGGTCATCCTAATACGCAAATGAAACTGCTCGATTCATATGGATTTGTTTTCAAAAATGAATGCAAGTCTTATATGTTTATGTTTGGAACGTCATGAATTAATGACAGAATTTTTGTTTTTGGATATTAAAGGAGTCCTATTATGTTTTTTCACTTTTTCAACTTCATGTTAGTTAGAGTGCAATGTTGCTGTTTGAGCAAAAAAAAAAAGATCTGCAAGGTTACGAAGCTCTAATACACTTTCCAAGAACTACTGTACAACGAACGACTCGTCTGGACAACAATGCGTTTTTGTCCCGCCCACGGAATAAACAAAAAAAGGGGAACTGGTTGAGCCTCATTAGAGAAGACAGTGCTGTCGCTGTCGAAAAAATGCTGTTACCCTGTTACCAAAATGTATTTGTTTGACCTTTCGAAGGCTGACGAACTTTAGCCAACACTGGTGTTGATGTAGTGTTTACTGTAGCTATTGTAAGCTCTCACTTTTGTAAGACTGTTCACCACCCCTCAGGAAAATTAACCTTGGTTTTGTAATCGATTATTGTTCGCATTACTGTAGTTTTCCAACAAATGTCACTATTAAATTCTTTAACATCGCATCTAAAATCTATAAGAAAATTTAAAAAAAAAAGACATTACCACTCACAATCCTATTGTTTGCTAACATTAAAGGGTTAGTTCACCCAAAAATTCTGTCAGTAATTACTCACCCTCATGTTGTTCCAACAGCTCTCAGATTTAGTCATAAATATCTTATTTTGTGTTCCAAAAATGAAAAAAAAAAAAAAAGACTTAAGGGTTTGGAACAACATGAGGGTGAGTAATTACGGACAGAATTTTCATTTTTGGGTGAACTATCCCTTTAAGAGATTGAGGGCATAATACAATTGAACAAAAACAATGACGCACACCTCCTCCTAGCAGCAGAGTGGGTAACTCCCAGTCCAGTATATAGTTTAGACACTTTCCAACTCCAACGGGAGTCATATTGAAGGAGCACATGGGGTCACCCGCCATTGTGTCTGCTCCTAGTTGCATCACAACTGCTTCAGGGTTAAATAGAGCTTTTACTTCCTGCATCACACTGAGAGAAAAACAAAAAAAGGAATAATGCTTATGTTTAAATAACAATGAGCAACAGGGACAAACAAAACATTGCAAGAAACTTGATTGGATGGCTAGTTAATGGATCTTTACAAACCTGGTGAAGGTCTGGCAGTACCGATCATCACGTATGCCATCCTCAAAGGGGACGTTAACAGCGTACCAGCGTCCTTTACCCAGCCCAGTGTCAGTCACATCACCTGTGCCTTTGAAACACATAATAATGATAGCCCTTACGCTGATCTCTTTGGTCATTCATATCACTTGTGTATATCAAAACTTATATTGCGTAATTTACATTGACCGTTCAAAAGTTTGGGGTCAGTATGTATGTAAATATATATACACAGTGAGGAAAATAAGTATTTGAAGACGCTGCTATTTTGCAAGTTCTCCCACTTAGAAACCATGGAGGGATCTAAAATTGTCATCGTAGGTGCATGTCTACTGTGAGAGACATAATCTAAAAAACAAAAATCCAGAAATCACAATAAATGTATATTGTATAAATATATATAAATATTTATTTGTATGATACAGCTGCAAGTATTTGAACACCTGTCTATCAGCTGGAATTCTGACCCTCAAAGACCTGTTAGGCCCTGTTTACACGAGAATGCTCGCGGGTGAAAATGTAAAAATATTTTATCGGATGTGCCTTTCGTTTACACGGTGACAGCGTTTTTAGAGCTTAAAAACGCAAAAAAGTGAAACCACCCTCCAGAGTGGAAATCTTAAAAACGCTCCACAGCCGCATTCCCATGTAAAGGGTAAAAACGCAAAAATCTACTAGACAGTGAAGGTTGTACGCTGGCGCGTGGACTTAGTGTTGTTGTGTGGCAGTGCTTCACATCGCCACCTAGCCGCCTGGAGTGCATACTACATCAAATTTCACATACTTTTGCGTCACCATATGCACACGGATTTCCCACCCATAACGCTTGTCTAAACGCAGAATAAAAAGTGATAACGCAATGCCACTTTTGCGTTTTCTCTTCGGATCGTTTCCATGTAAACATAGACTTAGGGTGCTTCTCAATATCCCTCCTCGTCTCCTCGCTCCTCCGTCCTCCCTCCTATGACCCGGAAACCGATCGAGCTCAGCCATCTTGAAGGACATCTCAATTCTCTAATTGCACCGTAAGGAGTCGAGGATCGAGGAGATAGGAGGCTTCCTGAGGAGTCATAAGCGAGGATACACAGGTGCATCCTACGCGGAACTGTTATATTCACTAAACGTGACGCACGTGTCAATTCTCCTCCCCCTTCACATCGGTCACAATCATTTTAATTTATACTTTACCTTTGCAGTTTTTATAAACCACACATCTCAGATTTTTCAACAGTATAGCCTATCTTTATTATTATTTATTATGAATTTATTAAATAACCAAACTTCAACATCATAAGGGCAGATCCTTTTAGCGCTGCTGATGAACACTGTGGAGTGACGCTCGAGTGATCAAGTATTCCAATGTATATAAAAAAGCTTTTATTCGATTCCTCTGTCCTCCTCTCCTTTCCTCGCTTCCTTCCCTCGCGTCCTACAGGGGGTGGAGCTGAGACGCAAGGAAAGGAAGCAAGGAAAGGAAACGAGGATGCACAAATAAGAAATGAGAAGCACCCTTAGTCTGCCTTTAAAATGTCCACCTCCACTCCATTTATTACCCTAAATTAGATGCACCTGTTTGAGGTCGTACACCTGTCCACCCCATACAATCAGTAAGAATCCAACTACTAACATGGCCAAGACAAAAGAGCTGTCCAAAGACACTAGAGACAAAATTGTACACCCACTCCCACTGAGATTTTGAGGAACAACCTCCATCCCTCAGTTAGAGCATTGAAGATGGGTCGAGGCTGGGTCTTCCAACATGACAAAGGGTCTCATTCATGAAACATTCGTAAATATACGAGTAAATATGAGAGTGATTTGCGCGTTAAGAGACCTTCCTGAAAACTCTTCTCCTGATTCACAAATACTCCGTAAACGTCAGATATGATGTGTGTGTGTGTTCAAACCAGTCGTAAATGGGATGCCATCAATCTTTGCCATCACAGGAATATATTACATTTTAAAACTAAAGAACTTTTCCTCTTCGGTCGCACAAAAGGTTGGAAGCAAAATTGTCCATTACCGCTGTCGTAAATAATGTAACCTACCGCAGCACACTGTCGCACACACGCTCGCATTTTTTTCCAGCACTGGCTTTGGAATGAAGTCCACAGACAAGGTACAGTATGTTGCATGATCTTATGAAAGTATGATGTATTGCGACATCAGAAACGAAGAAAAACAAACAAAGATATTGTAACTCTTGCCGTAGAGCAAGTCAAATTTGTAGTTTTCTTATGTCTCATTCAAACTACAGAAATGCTACCCGATCTGATGTAAGGCCGCAAAGCGAAGGCATAAGTGCCTTTCATCCTGTTACGACTACTTGAACCACTGAAACGATTTTGGAAACATTATTAAGGTAAAAAAAAAAGTTCTTTAGTGTTGATTTAAAATAGACCATTTATTTTAGTTATTAATTGCAATATATTACAATATTACTGTTTTTACTGTATTTTTGCAGCCTTGGTGAGCATAAACTTAAAAAGATATATCTCAACGACCCCAAACTTTTACTTTGTACTTTCAGATCAAGCACATACATTTTTAAGCACAGTACATATTCAAAGAGATGTTTTTTTGTTGTTGTTTTTTTTGCTACTTGCTTAATTCACTTAACTAGAATTATAGGACACTTTGTCACAAGGTAATTTCATGGTGTGCAGTTCATTGAAGTTTGCAAAGCAGACATTTGCTTAATCCAATTGTGTTAGGACTGCATGAAAATATTCCATTGCTATTACCATGCCATTGCTGAAACTGTGCAGGGGACTTCCAGTTCCCAGCATGCTATGCATATAACTGAACTGAGAGAGACAGTTGAAATTAAATGTTATTTTATGTGTTTTGATGATGAAAAATGGGGAGGAGCTTAATGTTGTTATGTTTAGGGTTGGATTTCAGGGGTTACAACTGTGGTGAAGAGCGGAGCATCTGCTATGCGTTAACGTATATGAATAATGTATAACATGTATGACTCTGCTTTACTCAAAGAGCAATTACTGTTGAAATGCAAGTGATCAGTCTCTTCCTACTTGCTTTAGTAGAATGTTTTAAAAAAAGTATGTACACTATTGCTAGCTAGTTAAAGAGATTCATTTGGGTTGTTTTGACAGTTAATCTAATTTTATTGTGTTTTACTCAATTCAGTCAGATTTCCACTACAAGTATCTGGAGCAGAGTTTATAATTTCATTTAATGTTAAGAAAATCTATTCCAAGTGTGGCCACATATGAATTAATGTTTTGAATGTGTCATATTTGTGAAGAGCAACTGCATGGAAAAACCAAGCCAAAGTTTTGCCAAGCCAAACAAGCCAACACTTACTCATTAAGTAAATAATAATTCAGTTATCCTGCAATAATTAAATATCTTGTCTTCATAGAGCATTAGCTCAGTTACCTTTCTAAGTGCTATTGTTAAACTAGTGAAGGGACTCTCAGAGTCTCCGAGAAGCCACAGAGCTCCAGTCTCCATTATCAGCTGGGTAATCAGACTCTGGGCGCTGGAGTGGAGCCTGCAGCTCCAGCTCTGGCATGGCTTGAAACATGACTGTCAATTAAGGGAATTAAAAGACGTGCTGGTCTTCACTGAGGCGTAGAGGCATGCAGAACTAACCTGGGAAGAAGCCAGGAGAGAACTTGTGCAGAGACACTGTCATGACTTTAGAGGTGAAGCTGAAAGCGTCCTCCACACCTGGAGAGGAAACAATGCCGAAGTCTACTTAATGGGAAGGATATTAAATCATGTCCAAGGAAAAGCATTCAGGAAGTGATGGATTTGTGCTCTAATTGAGAAATAAACAGAACCGGTAACAGATGAATACAAACAAGGAATATGACCTGCTACTATCTAAACATTTGGGTCAATTAAATTTAAATATTCTAAAAGAAATGAAATATAACCTGGCGCAAATTATATCATATTTTAAAGACTTATTAAACTTAACACTGTCTTAAAGGGTTAGTTCACCCAAAAATGTCAGTATTTACTCATGTTGTTCCAACCCCGTGAGACTTTCGTTCATCTTCGGAACACAAATTAAGATATTTTTAATTAAATCTGGGAACTCACTCCTCCATAGGCTGCTGGGTAATTTCATTTGCCGGCCCAGAAATGGTAGTTAGTCAAAACATCATTAAAATAGTCCAAGTGACTACTGTGGATCAACCTTAAGTTTATCAAGCGACGAGAATAAATTTTGTGCTAAAAAAATACAAATAAATAACAACTTCATTCAACTATTCATTTTCTTCTGTGTGGGGCTCTGAGTAAGTTCACGAGAGCGCCACAATGTATACGCTCACGATCCTTTGATGGAAAAGTGTAAAAGGTAAGCCATTAATTTTGCAGCATTGGTAAGGCACTTTTACATTTTCTTGTTGGTTTCTCAAGATTCGAACATCCAGGAAATGCACACTTTAGAACCATTTTAAACACTATATCAATACCCATCTGCGTCATCTTCTCAGTTCTCGCACATGCGTCGTGGCGCTCTCATGAACACACGTCAGACAGAAGAAAATGAATTGTTTAATAAAGTCATTATTTTTTGGGGGGGTTGCTCACAAAAAAGTATTGTCATCACTTGATAAACTTAAGGTTGAGCCACTGTAGTCACTTGGACTATTTTAACAATGTCTTTACTAACTATTCTGGGCCGGCAGATGAAATTACCCAGCAGACTATGAAGGAGTGAGAAAGCTCCAAGATTTCATCAAAAATCTTAATTTGTGTTCCGAAGATGAACGAAAGTCTTACGGGGTTGGAACAACATGAAGTAAATAATGACAGAATTTTAATTTTTGGGTGAACTAACCCAAAAGACAGTCTTAAGTTCAATAAGTCTCTAAAAATACGATATAATTTAACCCTTTAAAAAAAAAAAAAAATACACCAGGTTATATTTAATTTATTTTAGAATATTGCATTGACTGCAACACATGACTTTGAGCTTTATTAGCAGTACTGTAAAAAAAAGAAAGAAAAAAAAAGAATTTGCCAGACTACGAGGTTTCTAAAAAAAAAAAAAAAAAAAAAAAAAAAAGCCCCTATCAAACTCCAAATGATTTTTTATTTAGAAATTTTAAAAATGCTAATCGTAGAAGAGATATATTCATCCTTTATGAGTTTCATTTTTTTGTATGCATTTCTGAATATACAAATTTCTAATTTCCAAAAAATAAATCTTTCATCACCGACCTATCTAACATTCACACTTGGATATTAACGTGGATTTGGACTTCAGATATAAATTTAAAGCCAATTTGTGAATTATTTGTGGAAAAGAAGGATGTTAAATGCTATTAACGACAACAGGTTGTTATGGTTATTGTTATGGAAGTGTTATTACCATCGCCATGGTGAAGGTCCACATCCACATAGAGAACCCTCTCATACTTCTCCCGCAGTTTGAGGATTCCAAGAACAGCGTCATTCACATAACAGAACCCAGATGCCTCATCCCTTACATAACAACACATATTCAATCAGATGCTCCAGTGACCTGATGAACAATGTCGTACACATGTGTAAACATTCATCTACAATAAACATTTTACAATAAAACTAAACACTAAGCTCGTTTAAAAAGCTTCAGCAAACAAACTGTGACATAAAAATTTGAACTTGGTTTAAGCATGCTAAAGATGACACAGGCATCTTAATGATTGATGTGGAGGTGAAACACAAGAGGGTGGGCAAAAGGCCTGTTGTGCTGCATTACTTCTTGGCGTGATGCCACCCTCCGGCCCAGTTGATGGCCACATCACACTTTCCATCCAGCAGATTCTGGGCAGCAGTCAGAGTGGCTCCTCCAACGGAGGCCGCATAATCAAAAATACCTTCCACCACCGGACAGTCATAACCTGAACAACACCACACAAAAAAAGAGCGTCAAGAGCGGGGTTTGATAACACGGAGAGACAATGGGATGGGGTGTAGAGAGGAAACTGAGAGGAAAGATACTGTGTCACAGAGTGGGAGGGTGAGAAAGAACAATAAACACTGAACTACATTAAAATAGATCCTTTGGCAAGAGCTTTATTTCCCCCTCAAAAACAATAACACTATTCTCTAACCCTGGAGGTTAGTATGAAGTGTCAGTTTGTCAAGCATTTAAATTACACATGGCTGTGATCCAGTGCAAAAATTAAACAAGATTCAAGATACAAGTATAATACTGCCCGCTGCTGTAAGTAAGAGGGCATTGCATGCACTAGCACAGGGGAAACCATTGGCTTGTTTGACTAACCTAGTTCTAATTCAGAGGGGTTTAAACTGGGCTCTGGGAGAAAGTGTTAGGTGGTCTGCGAAAAATTTGAGGGAGAATTTTTTTTTAAAATATGTTAATAGGTTTTTCTAGTAAGAAAAAAAACGGTATTCAATTTTATAAGATAAACATTGTAATTGTTTAGTAAGTAATTAGAGTAATTAAAAACAATTGTGGTTATGGCTGTAGTTCTTGAATCTGAGACTTTTCTGGTATAATGATGACAAAGCTACTTGTGTGTGTGTGTGTATAATTATATTATATGAGTTATTTTACAATTACTTTAAATCTTGCAGCCCACATGGAAGTTTGCTTTTGAATTTGAATTGAACTGAAAATATCACATTAGGTTTATAAACATTAAAATGGGTAGAAAAAAAAAATATATATATATACGCTCCACTTAAATTTTATTACTGCTGGGAAAATATTTTCCAGATAATGTTTTAAATATAAAATCCAATTATTTAACTTTGCAAAATCCATGTTGAACTTATATATTCACATTATTACATTTTATCACATAGTATAATAATATAATTGTCTTTTCACATGAAAATATATAGTTGCCTTTATATTTTAGGAGTGGGTTATCATATATTAGGGTCCTTGGATTCAAAAAGTTTGAAAACTTTACAAAAAAAAAAAAAAAAAAGTTATGAAAATAAGTTTATGAAGATGCCAAAAGTCGTGCAAAAGCCAGGCGAGGCCAATCTGCCCGTGCCTGATCTCAATAATGCTCTTGTGGGAAAAAATTCAGCAAACATCTGGTGAAATGTCTTCTCAGAAGAGCAAAACCTGCTGGAAACAGCTAAATGTTTTTATCATCTAAATAAAAAAAGATGACTGATCATCTGAATTCAGGTCTCACCCAGTCCAAAGTCAACAGACTGAGGGTCATCATTGTCCCCGTCCTGACTGATCTTGTGCAGGTGCTGCAAGTAAGAGTCTGTGTGAAACACGGCCATCTCCTCTATTGAAGCCATATGTGGCTTTACCACCCTAAAAACCACACAAAACAGTTTCAATAACATAAACATCAGTTAACATTATTTAGTTACGTATTTAAAAAACACATATTTAAAAGAAAACGATGTAAACTGCACCTCATGTATTTCAGTAAGCCATACGCCTCAATCAATGAATGCACCATACTCGCCTGTGAGAGAAGGAAAATAGTAAAGAAATTCAGGAATGTGTCTTTATATATTCCATATATATTTAACTAATTGATTAACACATTCATGTAGTCTTTATATATTCCATATATATATTTTTAACTAATTGATTAACACATTCATGTAGGCTAACGTTACTAGTAACGTTATTTACATTCCAAAGTTCTGTAATTTAAGAACACCACAGTAATATTTACCACGGAAGATGACCAAAACATGGTACTTTTTTCGTTAGTTCAAAGTCAATCGCGATTCCATTTGAATTATTTAGCTATGTCTCTGTTTGTAATGCTGTGAAGTATGAAGCATAAATCTGGCAGAAGACAGATGTGTGTGCTGTGTTTGGGAGTGTGAGAAGTGCAGCTCATCTCACCCGGTTTGGCACTTTAGAAAGCGAGTCACATGTCTGGATGTATTCCGGACTGTAAACATACACCACACTGCGATTTTTGCTTTTGTCATTATTACTGTCGCTTTTATCACTCATTTAAAATCGAACTATTAAAATCAAAGCTCCTCATAAATCGACAGAGAGCCTTGCTCAGGTGCGCTATGGCTGAATGTTCCAACAACAACAATGAACGTTACAACAATATGATCGTCCGTTATTTCAAAATAAAAGCCCGAATTTGTTGTCAATTTACTGTAATGTTTGTCAAGATAACGTGCTGGGACAGTAAAAACTGACAAATATCTGGATAATTCAATAAATAATAATTTTAATTAAATGCAATAGTTGTAATGTATTATATTAAACAAAATAAATAAAAGTTACTATCCCATAATGGCTTCTATTCAAGTATAAAAGTATAAACAAACATCTACTATTACTATTACTCATAAAATGACAGTAAAGACAACAAATGCCAAAAAGTCTAAAACACATCTATAAACAAGTCACGCCTCCCCATTAGTCGTGGATTGTAATTTGTAAACACACTACTCATCATATTTTATGCAGTACCTTTATTTTTATCCTGCAAATAAAAACTAAAAAGAACAAAACTGAGTTTCATGCTGAATAGACCTAAGTCAGGAGGATAGACACCATATTAAATTTTACATGGATGAAAATTAGGCTGTAAGGGATACACCTACAGTCTTTACAAAGGCACTATAAACATCCTAGATCACATGATTTTCAAAATACACTACTTGTTTTACTTTCCTCAGCTAAATAATCTGCATTTGTTTCAATTTTTGCTTAATTTATTTTACCCATACACTGTCCTCACTAGCTCATTTACATTCCTGTCACAAATTAAATCTGGTGCAACCCTGACTATAAGGTCTATGGAGAACCTATTAAAGGACTACTGTGACAAGACAACACCATCAAACTGAACTTCCAAAGCATGTGGTCAACAAGTTTATTCAGTCTTGTTCAAAACAGTTACATATTTTCTTTGATCATCCACCGAACACAAACATCTCAATAACTGCTCTAAAACAGGTGTTTTCACTATACAATAAAAACTACAGTATTTAAAAACTTCATGGTATCACTGTACGGTACAGGCGCCACTAGGCAGAAAGTCATGGACGTAGGTAGCCACAGCTTTAGTGAGGTAAGTCATGGTGCCAAAGCGGCCACTGGGTGCAGTATCATATAGGAGCCGGCAGATGCCTGTAGACTGATCCTTTTCTAAAATACTATCCTCTGCACCTAGATCCTTCTGCAGGACAGAGAGAGAAGAGATTTTTTTTAATATTTGTTAATAATACATTGTTGATAACACATACTGTACCATAATATATACCATACTTTTTTTTGTTAAATACCCATACCTGGTCCTTGAAGAACATGTCATTGGCGATGTGAACAACCTTCTCTATGTGGATGATGCTCCCAATGCTTTGTATGTCCACATCAGCCAGCATCGTAAGTACCAGGATCCCTTCCACCAGCAGCTGCCTATATTCAGGCTGAGGGACACGGTTCAGCACCCTTTCTACATGTACCGCAAACTTAATCTCACCTGGGGTCATCTGGACAGAGGGAGAGTGGTGGAGAAGGAAATTTGCAGTCAAAGTTTAAGAAAGCAATTAGTGCAACATGTTAAAGGATTTTTAAAAGGGCCCAAACCTCTCTTGTAGTAGAAGATGGGAGCACATATCCTTCTATTGAAAGGCCATGACACTGCAGGGAGAAAACAGAAAATTCATATATTTCACTATTTTACATTAAAATATTTAACTATCCATTATTTTTAACATTAGAGCAGACAAGATCATTTGTAATTTGAATGTACCAGGCTTCCAGCATCATCGGCTTCCAGTTATTTTTAGCTGTACAAAGCAGCTCATTATGATGCATGATATTGCAATATTATTTTAAAGCATTGTCGTAATTATAAACTCACTTAATTTGTAGAGCCTATATTTACAGCACTAGTTGTTTTTCTAGGTCTCACATAAATCACAGAAAATAGCTTACGTCCACATTGCAAAATGAGGATGATCAAGGTCAACTATTTCATGTTATTAAAAAAACACAGCTTTAATTCTTCCAACCTTCTGTAGAATCTTCCAGACTTTTTGATAGAAGCCTACAGGAACTCTGTTGAGAGCACCATCAAGCCTTCTTCTGCGCAGCCACTGGCCCTGCCGACTGTCCCGGGACGCCCCGACACTCACAGAGCTGTCAAGCCCATCAATCGAAGGCATCCGGCTCCTCTGCTGAGGTCAACAATTTGACCAATTTCTTGGTTAGTGGTATGATGTACTGTATTATTGAAGAAATGGTTTCTTCATGATAAATAAAATGAAAATCTACTTCACAAAACTTTGATCTGGTGATTAGGAAGGCATGTGACTTCATTATTCTGGGGTTTACAGACACCAAGTTTGACTTGGTTTAATAGAGTGGTTAGAAGTATTTGCATACGGTTATATAGGAACATCATTAAAGAAAGGTGGTGGTAACAAGTTGAACATCTAGTTTATTAAAAAGACAGAGTGAAGCAGTGATGACATTTTTTGTAGGCCAACCCAGAACTAAGCATCAACCTGGTTCCCTCCAACAAAAAAGACCACATGATTTTCCCATTAAATTACTTAGGAAATAAGGTCTGTGAAAAAACAAACGTTTATACATTTTGTTCATCAATATAAACTTCACAAATGTAAACACCTTTAATGAATTCTGAAGCGTAAATACAATCTGCAAAATTAAAATGCTAAAGTTAGGCTTTAAACAAACTACACCACAGTAGTAACAGTCTTATTCAACTGGTGATTTAACTGGTGTGCTTTATGTCATTCAAAAAAAACATAAAAATATCTTGAGTTGTGTTAACCACAGACCTTATTTCAGGCTTTTAACCAAAACTTTGCTTCAGAAGAGCAAAAATACTAACTCTTTTCTGGGGTTTAGGATAAAAGGATAACTTTAGGAAAACTCTTTTCTGGGTTCACATCGAATAGTTCAATTATTTTTCAGGCAGACTATTTGCACATTTTGCAACTCTTTGTAGCCTTATCTTACCCTTCAAAAAATCAAAGGGAAAAGTAAATATGGCTTTGAAGTCCTAAGCACTTACCCCTGACTCCATTGTCCATTCACTTCCAGTGTCGAAAGATTGACCTGATAACGTCTACAAAGAGAAAAGACAGACACAGGGATGGACAGTTTTACAAACTTTCTACAAGACAAAACTATTTTGAGCCTCCTTCCACAATTATGTTCACATTACCCAAAGAATTAAACACCATGCCATGCACCTTCAGACCCCGTGAAACCTGCACATTTTTCTTTAATGCAATATCCAGATTTAAAATTACAGTGGATTTCCCAACACATCCCATAACCAAATTGAGCAGCTGATGTCAGGTTTTCTCTTTACATTTTTAAGTTGTTGAACTTAATTTGAGACTAGACCACATAACATGAGACTGAGTCACGGCTCATTAGACACATCACCTTACTTTGGATCGACCATGACAATCGGTGATCTTCCAGCTGAAAACATTTAAACACTATTAAACATATAGAGACAAGACATAGTAGCTATAGTGTTTACATGGTTTAAATTTTTATATCTTATAATTGTGCTTTTGTACTTTCTGGCTTGAATGTTTTTGGTTCTGGATGAGCAGTCACCTACCATCTTCATGTCACTCTTCAGTTTGCTGATGCCAGCACGCTCACTCTTGGTGGCACCAACATTGCCAACCTCATGGATGGAGATGACAGGACTGGCGCCGGGCTCAACTGAACGAACGGAACAGAGAATATGCACACATTCAGACAACCAAACCAACCAGAGAATGCTAAATGCATTGCTAAATGTACTGACTGACACATATATTTAACATTTTCCAGCTCAATAGTACAGAAAACTGTTATTTTCATGAAGTCACTCGCCACTTCTCTGAACACCAAATTCTTTGCCACTCAGAATGTGGTGGAGAAGATTCTTCAACTCAGAGGGACTCAGTTTCATCAGACTCTCAGTGGCCTCCTCACCTTCAATACACATAATATACAGTATATATTAAAAACTATACAAACATCCTCAAACCTCCTAAAATGCACTATGAACACATGATAAATGCAGTACCGGAGCAGTTTAGAGATTGGGCCAGCTCAGTTGCCATAACCTGAATGATGAGGCCAATCCGCAGCCGAAACATCTCACTGAACAAACTGGGCTGCGTTCTGATGATCATTGCGAGGTACACTATGATCTCCTAACACATATACAAAAACAAACATATACACTGAAAACAAACCTCAAAAAATATTTTATGAGCAAGGCCTGAACGGAATCAGCACCCAGAATTTCATTGAAAACATGAATTATGAAATATTTTGGCTAATTTAATAATGCTTTCATCTACTGACATAAGAGTAGTTATATCACCTCACAATTTATCATGTTCAAATAGTTTCCCCCCACAATCAACAGAATAAGTGAAAATGTTCTGTGTGCTTTTGGTTAAAATATTTACATACACTATTGGTTAAAATATTGGGGGATTTTTATTGTTTCTTGCAAGTCTCTTATGCTCACTTACTGTAGGCAGCATTTATTTGATCAAAAATAAAGTTTAAATAGTAATATTGTGAAATATTTTTATATTTGAACATATTTTAAAATGAAATTTATTTATATGATGGCAAATCTGAATTACTCCAGTCATCAGAGTCACATGATACTTCAGAAATCATTCTAATATGAGGATTTGGTGCTCAAGTAACAATTCCTATTATTACCAATGTTGAAAACAATTGATCTGCTTTATATTTTTGTGGAAAATGTGATCCATTGTTTTTCAAAATTGTTTAATGAATAGAAAAAAAATTTCGTAACATTTTAAATCTTTAGTGTCACTTTTGATCAATTTAATGCATCCTTACTGAATAGAAATTCCTTTAAAAAATCTTACTGACCACAAACTTTTGAACAGTAGTGGAAAATCAACATATGTTTTTGCGTGTAACCTGTGTGAGGATGGCGATGGTGATGTTGTTCTCGCTGGCTTGATCAATAAGTAAGGCAAGTTGGTCAAGAGGCAAAGGCCTGCAGAGAAACATCCATATTACACACACAATCTACCAATATTGTGTAGCATTTTAGTGTCACCTGAGCTGGTAATATGAAAACTCACGCAGTGATAGTCTTCTCTCTGGGCTCTGGCGGTAAACCAACAGTCAAGTGTTTCTGATGGGCCAGCAAATCTGAGCAAGCCTACAAACATGACCATCAAGCAAATACAGAACAATTCACAAAAATAATCTTATCCTGTAAAGTAAGAGTGCCAATCTAACAGAAAGAGTGCTAATAGCCGGTATTATAGTTCCTTTTAACACAAGCTTGTATTTACCCAGTCCAGTTCCTCCACTTTCTTGCGGAGCATGCCTGAAATCATACGGATGAGATCCCAGCAGCGTAATTCTCCTGCCTTCTCATAGAGCTCCACAAGCAAACTCTTAACAGTGGTGCCGTTCCCATGCAGCTGAGTATCCCAATCCATTCCCCTGTGAGAAAACACACAAAACATTAGATTGAATACAAAATAAAAACAACTCTTGTCCACACTCATAACTCTGATTAAAATGTGGCAAGGGTCTTACTTGTCTTTGAAAAGGATAAAGAGGATGTCTGCCTGATCATGAAGGCTCTCTGTGTCTTTAAGCACTTGGACTAGACCACTGTAGTCAATGCCGCCACGAGTGTCCCGAGGCAGGTTAGAATAAGAGGGCACATCTGGACTCTACCAAGTTCAATTAAACATATTAAAGTGTTTTCTGTCATCTCAGTTTTGCATTTTTAAAAGATCCTTTGTGTGTCAGTCTGCATATACACACATGACTGGTCCGTGGTCCCGGGAAATCTTTTAGATTAAGCGCAGGCTGAGGGGAGCGGAAAAGCTTATTGGGAAGATACATGTGCACATCTGAAAAACAGACAAGGAACAAAAAAAGACAAGGCAAAACTGAACAGAAATGTAGACATGCAAATGGTATACTCTTTGCCTTGTAAGACAAATGCCTGACAGATTTGCTTCCAAATAACAGTTTTTTTTTTTCTTTTTGCCTCAACTGTTGCTTGTTCACTCAAAAATTACAATTCTGTCATCATTTAATCACGCTCATGTCATTCCAAACCTGTATTATATTCTGTCTTCTGTGGAAAGTAAAGGACAATATTTTGAAAAACATCTCATATATAAATACAGTATATATATATCTTTTGCTGACAAGTTTGGAATGACATGAGGGCGAGTATACAATGATAGAATTCATGTAAAAAAGGACCAGGCTCTTGAAGCAAGTTATGTGGCAGCCTGGTCAGGTGAAACTACACACCTTTAAGCTTTTAATATAACATCATCCCATTCATGCATCCTGCTCTTTTTTCCACTGCATCTTGCAATGCTATTTTTCAAAGTAAAAAAATATATTTGCTACTTCAATGATTCTATGAGCACAAAAGACCCAACTAATCAATTTTGTGATTCATTGCTGACTATTTGCCTTATTGGTTGGTTGTTGCATCCCTAAAACTTCCCCTTCAACATGTAAGAGTTCATTATTTCAGCTCACCGTGGATTTGGAGCTCCTTTGCTTTGTTCATAAGAGACACCATCTCACGTGTCTTAATGGCTGCAGCCTTGAAGCGACTCAGTCCTTTCGCCTCTCCCTCGACTCTGAGTCCCCGCTGAGGCACCGTTGCAGTTAACAGCTGGTCCAAGTATTGTGCTAGATCATCTGTATCTGAGAAAGAAAGGGTTAGAAAACTCAGGATAAGAAAGAAAGAGACGAGAGAAAGAGAGGTTGTTGGGTTGGATGTGGAGCAGCAAGATGCTCAAGTAAAGCAGTTTGCAATGCATTATGTGACATTACAGCCTGCAGTCTAAACGTGATGATACACGGGGCAACTTTTTGACTAATGTTGCTGGCGAATTTTGTCGTCAACGGCAACCAGGTGAGACAGAGCCCACGACTGATCTAAAGTATCCAGATAGAAATTTGTTGCCCATTCTCAATGGGAAAGTGCCCAAGGAACATCATCCTGTATCATCACCTTAAGGGTAAATGCATTCCTTGGAGAATCATTCAAGCTTGAGAACACAGATTATTCGGGGGGATTTTTTATAAATCAATCATCCATTTAATTTTTAACAGGAATTTGGAAAAGAAGAGAAAAAAAATCACAATAAAGTAATATAAACAATGCAAGAATCTTTAAAGACATGATGCGGTTTTCACACTGCAAGTGCTCACTGCAAATGATCAACATCAAAATAACACATTTTGCAATGATGGTGGAGAAAAAAGGCTAAGATGCCAAAGTAAACCAGAAGAGTTGAAGGTCAGAGATGTTTAAATGTTTCGTCCAGCAAATTCTACATTATAAATACTGTTAAGGTCATTTAGTGTACTTAAAATCCATTACACAAACTCTCCCAAAAGATCAGACTCAAAAGATTAAAGGGGTGATAAACTGAGAAATCAAATTTTCCTTGAGCTTTTGACATCTAAGAGGTCATCGTATTATAAGAATATCCTGTAAGTTTCAGAACTGAAAACATCCTTGTTAGTCCAATAAAAGCTTTTATTGACACCAGGGTCAGCAAACGACTCGTTTTTAAAAGTGGGGAACTATGACGTCAAAGAGGATAAAACACCACCCCCGCAGGAGAAGATCAACGTGGCAGGTTTAGCCCCGCCCACTGATTCGCGCATCCACGCATAGCTAAATAAAATAGATGCCTACCTCTTGAGTCATTATGACAATCCGGATCGAGCTACCTAGCAATACAGAATATTTTTAATGACGTTCCAGCTGATGAGGTAAAACATCGTCCGTCTGTTCGCTTCATTTCCCTAAGGATTGTTTTGTAAACAAGACTGGATTTGCAGACCAATTAAGAGTAATGAACGGTGCTGTGCCGTCTATATTGGATCTGACAGGAATGGTGCAACACACGGACTCTGGGTCGAATCATTCCGGTTGCCATTTTACAACATTGGACGATGTCAAAACAATTTCCCCCAAGTGCATCGACGAGGTAAGTTGAAACTCATTATAATATGCAAAACTGTTATCCACTCACAGCAGTGGGCGTTTACCTCCAAATCTTCAGTGCGAGATTCCCATAAAAACCAAGCGTTTTTCAGGTTGGCTCACAACTTGGGTACAAAATAGCTTATTACTTATTCATTTAGATGTTTTTGAATGCAAAAACCAAGCGAATGTCATAAGTTGACCTCAGACAACAATATAATCAAATTTAAAAAGCCAGATCATGACCTCTTTAAAATAAATAAAATGTGGGAACATTTATGCTAAAATGTAGCCTAGGCATAATATCAATGTAAAATGAGGACAGAACGTCCTCAGAACGACATAACAATAGCACACAAAGGAACAGAGTTTACCAACGTGTGCTGTTTAAATCACAACCCTACATCAAGGACTTCAACTCACATTACCAACATCAGTAATCTGACCATTTCAAACAAAATCTCTTTGCCAGAATATTCATTCTTTCCCCTTACCATCACTGAAGTTCAGGTCATGCACAGCACCACTAAAGTAGCTGTCCTCAACATCATCATCTTCATCCCAGCCCACACTGGAGCGTGTCTTACCACTATCGAGGAAGCTCAGATGAGCACAACAAGACGTGGTCACAAACTCAGATAACTTTCCAGTCTGGATCCTAGCAAAATTGAGAGCAGCAAGTGAGCGGAGAGGGCCATTGAATGTGTATTGTTGATGATATGATATTTATTTACATCCTCATTATCTGACCTTGCCCCTCCAAAGTAGCCATCCTGAAGCTTCTTAAGTGTGGCCAGCACAGCAGGTTCCAAGTCTGTGTGGTCATGGTCTAAGAAGTTACACACAAAAAATTAGGAAAAACCTACACACTTCAAATTTAATATTGTTTTCTCGTTGACCCTACATTATCAGAGGCACTAGTTTTTACTCACTAAGCAAGGTCTGGGAAACAGGAAAGGTGACGGTAGGACGCCCAGTCATCCTCCAGCGAGAAGACAAGTAAGACAGGTCAGTGCGCAACATTTCCACGATCATCTTGTTGTCCAGGGCCAGATAGAACTGCTGATGATCTATGAACTACAGTACAGCAACGTGACAAACCCAGAGACATGAAGTAATGTAAAATCATGTGAAATGAAAGAGAGAACATTTAGGGTATATTTTAAAAGCTTTATGTGAGTAATTTCTGCCTCGCCAACTTATTTTTATTTAACTTCTGCTGAGTGATAAGCAGTGGCTCTCTAAGTCAACATAAGGCTCAAACATGCCTAGTTCAGCACATTATGAAGAACCTGAGGTGTGAAGCTAAAGATGGTGTTGCGGATGATGTAAAGCTTGGAGGTTCCCAACACGCCAATCCTACGGTAAGGTCTGCCGGTCAGCCCCAGTCTCTCATTACGCCCTTGGAGAAAGGCAAACACACACACTCCCTAATTACATGAAACAAATATTTGTGTCTGTCTACTGAAAATATAGCTGACTGTCAAAAGCAATAGCGTGTTTTTGTATTTCTTTATACTAGTATCAAGTGAGACTTTATTATGGTGTACCTCTTCCTACCTAGTCTAGCATAAATGTGGCTGAGAACCCGAGATGGCTGCACTCTGATGGGGTGGATGTCTGCCACTGTCTCCACATCAATCCCATTCTTCTGCAGGAGTGCCTTAATATCTTCATTCTCAGCAAGGATGGACACTTATCAGAACAAAATGCAAACATCCAGATGAATTTTAACCATGCAATGCATCACATCAGCTATTGGTTAAAAATGTTGAAAAATACCTTGTACAACAACATCCGGTTTAGGGATGGTTGAGAACCTGCGGTTTAAAGGGTCTATCTCTCCTGGAGCCAAAAAACCCTGAAAAGGATAGGATAGGAAAGGTAGAGGTGTTTTTCATACTTCCCCAAATATAACTTGATACGAAAGACTGTGTTAACCGAATATTTTACATCATTGACTGATTATTTTTTTATTTTATTTTTTTATATTGGAAGGCGGTCCGTCATTTTGACAGATTATGAGGGTGATCTACTCTAACTTGTATTGTAATTCCCACCCTTGTCCAGTTGGTGGCCACTGGTGCAGAAGGAGGACATGCTGTATTTGCATAATCTGGTCTAGTCTATAGAGTGCCGAAGTTATGACGTCACTCTGTAGGCCAAAATGCGGAAGTGAGTTAGCATTTTAGCACTACGGTTCCCTCGCTCTAAAGCCTATGGGATTTTTGAATGGGTTTTTGCTAAATCGCCTGAAATAAGGTCTGTGGTGAACAAAGCCTCTAAATATTTTCACGTTTTGATCTATGACATAGAACACACAGTTATAATAACCTGCTTGTGTTTTTTTAAACTTTATTGTGTCTGATTGTGTTTTTTTAAATCTTTATATAGGCTTCAAAATGTATACATTTTGGATTAACTTATAAAGATTATCTTGCTAGACAAAACATGTAAGGGTCACAACCCTTTGTTGAACACAGATCTTATTTTTTGCGATTTTCCAAAAGTCTATGGGGAAATTGCATTGCTTTTCGACCGAGGGAACCCATATGCGCCGCTATCTTCCGAGTTGTCCTACAAAGTGACGTCATCACTTCGGCACTCTATAAACTCAACCTTTAAGTTAATGATTGTTTTTTTTGTTTTTTTCAGTTCACATTTTTTTAATTCAATCAAATGTCTCAACATTAAAATATGGAAATTAAAATGAAGAATAATTATAGATTAAGATTACATATTTACGAGAAAGTCTAACGCAACTAGTGCTTGGTACAAAGCTTTGACCTGTAAGTATAGCAAAGACATGACCTGTAACCTCTCACCTCTGCCAAAAGGTTGCCCAGGACATAAAGGGACTGGCCCCACTTCAGAGGGCACTTTCCCAATGGGATCCTCTCCACTGTGTGAGGATTAACATACTCTTCATCCACCTGAAAAAATGGGGAAAAAAACTATGTTATCAAAAGTATAAAGAGCAAATTTCATCAGAATTTTGACATGAAATTCTAAGTTGACATGAAGTGAAATTTCACTGATATTCCATTTTTTGTTTAAAAAAATGAATTTAATAGTGTCTTACCTTATCAGGAGGAACACTATAGAGCTCAGGCAGCAGCCGTATACCATCTTTCTGTTTGATCATGATACCTTCCAGAGCTTCTCGGTACTCCTGAACCTGAGAGGACAGAAATGATCTTGTTTGACTTATTTTTAACCTCCAGAAAGTCACTCTTAAAGCTTTGCCTTTGCTAAAGTCTTTACAGTTGCTGCCAGAAGCCTTCTGAATTCTCTCTAATCCACTTGAAATAAACAACACAACTTTTACCATCAGATTTTAAAACACTAGGCATTCTAAATGTGAATGTAAATGGTTACAAAAATGTGCATCATACACTAAATGACCGAGGATCACATACTACCATCACATACTGTACTACGCAGCTGCCTGCGAATCTTTCAACTCCAACTGCCCAAAACCTGCAGACTGGATCTAACTAGCATTGACTCCTTCAGA